TCATGATGAAGCAAGCTTCGCATTGGCTCGGTTTGTGCTAGACCCCTGCACGTGGCTCCGGACGCCTCAAAGTCGGTACTTGTTCCTCTTGCTCTACTCTCCTATCCTCCTCCCTTTCCTCTGCGCAACTTTTCCTCTACTCTGTGCCACGGAGTTCTGCTTCTGGGTTTGTCACGAGAGGACGAGAAGGAAAGCAGTTGCACGGAAGTCAACAAACGAGGAGGAGCAGCTGAGGGGATGCGAGGAGGGGTGTGGGTGAAATAATGAAGGGGAAGAAAGTGAGGTGGGGTTGTTGCTCAAACCCAGATCTGGGTGTTTCTCAAACCGAGATCTGGGTTTCACAAATCTGGGTTTTCTCTAGTGATTTTGATCGTGGTTTTTTCTTTGTAACTTTGAAAGTTGAAACATCTCTGCGGATTTTAGGTTGTCACTATTGTTGTCTTTAATTGTTGACATTTTTCTGCGCTAAGATTGAAACTTGTTTGCTTTCCTAGAAAATTTGGCTCGTTTTCTTTCTGGGTTTTCCTTCTTTCTGGATTGAAACAAGTTCGTCGGCGAGAATCGTGACTATGCCGACTTCGTCTCTCGCCTGGACACCTAATCCATTCCCAAGTTCGTAAATTTATTCTTCAATTTATCTCAAACACTCATTTTCTTTACGAATTTCTTAATTTATGTGATGAAACCTAGGTCTGGGTTTGTTGAAGCTCCGATTTTCTTCTTGTTCAACAAGGGTTTGATTTTCTTCTGCAGTTGCAGCAATTAGGTTTAAGTTCGACAACAAGATCTCAGCCTTTCCTAGGAGGGAAGGAAAACTAAGCCGTCGATCTAATTTGTATTCGATGTTTTCGATTGACTTTTGGATCCTCTTTGTGCTGATTTGAACGAATTTTAACTGAGTTGGAGCCAATTTATTTTGATTTAATTTAAACTGCAAACCCAAATCTGGGTCCTTCTGCTACTACTGCCGTCGGCCTTTTTCTTCTTCTTCTCTCAAACCCAGATTTGGATTTGAGAGAAGAAGAAGGCTGACGACAGTAGTAGCAGAAGGTTTGGCTCGCTGTCGTCGACGGTGATGATCATCACTTGCTTCTCGGCCGTTTGAGAAAACCCAGAGCCTGGGTTTGCAGTGGTAAGAGAAAAGGAAAGGTAAAGGAGAGAGAAAATGAAAGAGGAAGAAGAAATCTGACGTGGTTGAAAAAAAAAAAGAATTATTATTTTTAAATTAAATGAAAATGCCAACTCATAAAAAAAATGCCAACTATGTTTTTTTTTCCATGTCATTAGTTAAGAAAAAAAAAGAATTGATTTGCTGTCATTTTAACGTGCCACCTGTCATTTAACTGACGGAAGGACCATTTTGGTACCGAAAATGAAAGTTTAAGGATAATTTTGGTGCTTTTTAAAGGTGAGGGACAATTTTGGTGCCAAAGTCAAAAGTTGAGGGACCAAAATGGTACTTAAACCATTAGTTTAAAAACACAAGTTTAGATCTCGCTTTAATTGTTAAGTTGGTTCTGATTTTATCAGTTGTCTTTAAAGATTACTCCTTTTGTCTCGAACAATAATTGTTAAATTTGTTTTTATTTTAAAAATAAAAATTTAGAAA